GCGGATTTTTTTACAAGCGCGATAATTGAAGCGCGCTCATTGTTTCTCGGTCCCGAGACCCCCTTTCGAGGCTCTCCCTCCCCTCCCCTCGCCGCTCCCTTTTATCTGTCCGGTGCTTTTCATCGGCCGGCTTTTTTTCGTAAACAGCGGGACAGCGTTAATGGAGAAAACCGGCCGACACAATACGCCGTCTGCGATTCCGTTCACAGCGTTTTGTTTCAATCATCTCTACGCCTCGTGTTGTCTACGCGTAACACGCGTAGATCGTTTCACGAGCCGCGGCGTATACTCGGTAATTTGTCTGTTCGATGCACCGGACGTAACTCGTACGATGCCCCCGCATCGACTAATAAAATACATGCATACGTATTCCTCTTCTCTCGCGACAGCCCTCGATGCACCACGACCTCGGTACCATGCGGTACTTGGTTCCGTTCTCTCGGATTCGTTCGATCGTTCGAAAACTCGCAGAGCCGATACCCGCGAAAAGCGGCCGGTCGTTGTTTGATTATTAGATTTCCCATCGCCTCGAGGGCCGTGGCCGCGTCCGCGTTCGCGGTCGCCGGTCGAGTTCGGCTCCATTCGCGTAATTGAATTCTAACTACTCGCTCAGGATCGGCCGAGACGGTTGCGTTTTATTGGGTCAGAGGATAGAAACGATCCTTCCCTTTGCATTATCCATGGAAATTGCACGCCTGGAGGAAGCCCTTTCTCCCCACTCTCCATCTTCTCTCCACAGCGAGTTTGCATATATCGCCGACGTGCATTCGATCCTCTCTCTTTCTCTCTCTCTCTCTCTCTCTCTCACTCTCTCAAACGCTGGACGATCGGCCGAGTCAAAAAAAAAAAAAAAACGCGATCGGAAGTTTCGCCTCGTTTACAGCGCGCTTCGTATTCGATCGCGTCTTCGACTCGCGAGCCGATCGCAGACGAAGGAAGGATCCTCCGAAGGCTGAAAAGTGACGCGCACAGTTCCCATCCCTGGGTAACTATCCGTGGAACGCGTTCGCGAGCTTCGAGGGCGATCCCAACTTCCATTTCCATTTCCAACTTCCGGCATCGGAACGAAACGAGAGGAGCAACTTCGTTGCGCGCGTTGCACGTTTGTTCGCGAAACAAACTTTCGGACAAACGGACAAACGGAAAAAGTGACCGTAAAAAACAGCGAGAGGTCGAGGTACGGTAGCGTCAAGGAGAGAAAACTGTTTCGTCAGAGTCGAATCGAACAAAGTCGAAGAGAGGAGCGGTTCGCCTTCGAGCGGGCGGGCGGTATTAACGTCAGGGCCGTATAGCTCCGCGTTAACTCGATCCATTCTCTCTCTCTCTCTCCTCTCCGTCCAAGAGTACAAGCGACGCTCGGAATTTCCAGATTCTCGGACACGTTGCGCGCCGCTGACGTTTACGAGGGAACTCGCGGCGACGTTGCGCGCGCGATTTACGTTCCGCCCTCCTCTTTCTCGTCGTTCTCGCCGGTAGAACCCATCCCCCTCTTCGGCAGAGGAGGATGCATTCTCCCTCTCGCAATCCGTTTTCCTCGAAAACGTCATCGACTTATCCGCACTGTACTGTTCACTGGCTGCGAACAGATTTCAAGTTGCGGGTAATCGATGCGTATCCGCTGTAAAAGCTCTACTCCGGCGAGGTATAGAAGCGTGTGTATTGCGGCGGTTGGTCGCGTCGCATCGCGTCGCGTCGCGTCACCGCCAGACGGATCGAGCACCGCGATAACAAAAACTTTCACGAGCGAGATCGGTAGACGTTGTTCCTAAATTCCCGGCGAAACTGCTCCGTAAGCTGCTCCCTTTATTCTCCGCTTCGCGTCTCCGTCGAACCGTTCTATTCCACGCGGGATTTATTGATCCACGCACAATTCTACCTCGACCGCCGACTCAAACTCACTTCGACCAGTGGCGCTCAGTTACGCGTCGCTAGTTTTCCTCCTGTTCTTTCCTCCGCTGTTCGGCTTGTTGCACGGAGGAAAAAAGCACGCGGGGATCGTTCGTCTCGGAGCTGCGGTAAAAACCGATTCGACGAGAGAGAGGCAAAGGCTGGCTGGCTGGCTGGCTGGCTGGCTGG